TGATGGAATTAAGAAATTGAATAAAGGTGAAAAGCATTTAAAGATTACTTGTGATAATGCTGGTGGACAGAATAAAATAATACTACTATTTGATTTTATTTATATTTAGTAATTTGTGGTTATTATGAAAGTATTGAATTGAATTTCATGATTCCTGGACACACCAAATTTAAATGTGATGGTAATTTTGGGATGATCAAAAAACTCTATAGAAGAACCAGAGTAGATTATCTGGATCATGTGGTTGAGGTAATAAAAAAGTCTAGTCCAGCTGGATTAAATAGAGCCCAGTGTTATGAAGGTGGAAAAGGTTTTCAATACTTAGATATTAAAGCAATTTTGGGAATTTATTTTAAGAAGCTAAATGGTTTACAAAAGTATCAACATTTTCTTTTTGAAGCATCTAATCTCGGTGTAGTCAAAACTCAGGAAGTGGCTAATGGAACTTTTGCTAAATTCAATTTATTAAAAACTAGGAAAACTGGTATTTTTGAAGAAATTAAAGCTTTATCTATTTTAGTATTGACACCATCTCCTTTGGATTACAAAAGGCAAGAGTACCTTTATAACAATATTTACTCATTTGTGAAAGATGAATACAAAGGTATTACTTGTCCAAGACCAATCTATACTGGTGACAAATAAAATATTCAGAATAAAATCACTTCCATGACTTTGTCACTCATTAATTTGTCCCTTGCTTTATTGTGTTTAATCTTTTAACAAATATTGTTAGTTTTTTCCACTTTTAAAGTAAAAAAGTACTAAAATGATTTATATACTTAATACACCCTTATAAAAAGGATATAAGTATATTAAAAGAATATATAAAAAAAGAACAAACATGGTAAACATTATAAACAAACAACAACAAGCAAACAAAACACTAATAAATGAAATAGAGTTATTGAAGAAACAATTAGCTGAAAAAGAAGAAAACTTTAAGTTAAGAACTTGAAATGCTGTTCACAGCCTTACTGAAAGTTCAGAATATACTGGAGTAAGTTTAAGAACCTTAGAAAGATTTAAATGGCCTAAAAATGGTTGAGTTAGTTATCCAGAAAGGAATGGAATTGAAATTGGAAGAGTTATTTTCAGTGGTGAATTCACTCCTGAAAATATTGTTAAAAGTTTTGCTGATGAATCATGAAATTATGAAGAAACTTTTGGTTTTACTTACCAAGAAAAAGAGGAATTAAAAGAAAAAGTTGCTGAACTAGAAGCAAAGCAAAAAGAACTGGAAATAAAAGTGGAAGAGTTGGAAGACAAAGTGGAAATGGAGCAAGAGGAAGCTGAAAAAGCATTAAACACAGCTATGAAGTGGAGAAAATGCCAAATGAATGAAGTGATACTAAAACATGATGCTGCAATGGGCAAACTCTTAGACCGGATAGATTTGTTGGAAAATAATTTGTCAGCTAAAAATCAGGAAATAAACTGAAGAGATAATTTAGCAAACAAAGAATTACCAGCTTTACCAAAACAACAAAAAGAAAATAGATTACAAAAGTTTAAACAATTAGTAAATAAAGCAAAAGAAAAAACTAAAGAGAAATTCCAAGCTTTTATCATTCAGAAAAGTAAGTAGATTAATATGAAATTAGAATATAGAGTTCTGGAAATAGCAAAGGGAGATGAACAAGAGTGTAACTTCTGTTTTCTAGATTTTGATGATCCAACTCTTCTTAATTTTGATACTGCTCCTGCTACTCATCAAATGGTGGCTTGTAATACTCCTGATGGTTATTCTGACATTGTCTTTATCTGTGGTGAATGTAAAAATGATTATGATAATAATACTCTTCCATGATGTGAGAAATGTGGTAGGTTAAAAAGGAATAGAAACAGATGTTTTTATAGTCATTTAAAAACTAAATCAACTAAACCACTTTCTGACAAAGAACTACTTTCACAAGCCTTCAGTTTTTACCTAGAAAATAAAGCTAGAGAACTAGAAAAAGACTTATCAATTACCAAAGAAGAATTAAAAATTGAAAGAGAAGAAGTAGCCAAATTTCAAGAAAAATCTGAAGAGTGAAGTAAAAAGCAAAGGCAAAAATTTTGGATAGAATAAAAGAATTAGAAGCAGATAATGCTGGGTTAATCCTAGAAAATAAGAAATTAAAAGATCAACATAATGGTCAATTAACTGCTCAAATTGAAGTCAAAGAGAGTAAAAGATGATCTTGATTGAAAATAAAAAAGTAATTGAAGAAATTTCCCTCTGTATGATTCCAACTATTAAAGAAAATGGTATTTATTTTTCTTTTAAAGATTTTGCTTTTTATTAGGTAATAATGTATCATCATGATGCTTTCTTTTTCCAACATTTATTATTTTTCTTTCTTCTTGGTAAATTTCAAATGCCCAAGTATCATTTATTTTGAAAATGTAAGGTGCAATTTTTTCACCTTGTTCTTTCTTCAAAATACCTCTAATAGTGCTGTAATTTTTGGGTTCCATAGTAGATCTGATATAAATGAGTTTCATATTATTATTTTTATATAGGGGCAGCTCTATATAAAAGATGAAAACCATCACATTACAATTATGATGTCAAACAAATATTATTGATCCCTGGAATCTTCAGTAAGACAATGTTCACTTTGTCTGGTTTTGTTGCAGCATGCCCATATAATCATGTTTTATCACAGTGACAAAATCAAACACTGATCTTCAATTTAATTAGTGCTTTCAGTTTAACAAAACTAAATTAAGAAAATAAAAATTTTTGACTGACATCATAAAATTATAAAAACAAAAATGAATGCAAGCACTGTCAACAATAACAATAATGGCGATTCACAAAACTCTTTTAATGGAAAAGAAAAAAGGTTTTCAAGAATTAACCCTCGTATAAAACTTTTTAAACCCAACCAATTTGGCTACAGTAGTATAATCAGGAACCCACATGCGAAACTCAATCAATCATCAGAGAAAAATAAAACACACAAAGATGTTGATTTAGATACAAGGTCAAGTAATCAACTCAAACATGGTTTGTCTGTTGATGAGCTTGAGCCTGTACAATCTTATAAAAGACGGCAATTTACTGTTCCCAATAGCCAGTTTAGAACAACTGATTCACGGACCATTTCAAGATCAACAATATTCACCAATCCATATTCCAGAGAGCTTAGACACGCGGTAAAAAATATTGAAGAAATGCAAACGTTTGAAAATTCTTTATTGTCCATTGATATTGATGGATGTTTAAAAGAAAATTATCATGACATAACTACATCACAGACTAAGAATGATACAATGTTAGGGTCAACAAATAACACAAATAACACAAATAACACAATTTCATCAGATTTGATTTTAACATTTATGGCTTTAGATGATATATCAAAAATAGAAAGTGAATCATTTATCAAGAAGAAAAATGTTGAAACCAACATTGTAAATGATAATAATGGAGGGAATATTGATGCTGTCAGTAGTGATGGTAGTAACAGTCATAATGATGTCGGTATTGACTCCAGTAATAATGCTATTAATAGTGCTAGTGATGAATATTACAGTAGTAATATAAATGATAATAGTAATAACTCCATTTATTATGATATTGTTGATAGAAACACCAATAATGATTATTATTCTCCTTCTCAAAATCCTATAATGAACTTTTTAAACATGGAAGAAAGAATCGAAGTTGGATATGATGACTTATCAGGAATTGCACAAATTATGAACAACAACTTTGCTTCTACGCAAAGCATTCAAACATCATCAGATATTCAAAATCAAATGGAAGTACTATTAAATCGTGGTATTTTTCAAAGTTTTGAATCTAATGATGATATTGATAATTCACAGTATTATCATAATAGTGGTAATGAAGAAGGTAGTGGTGATGGTGGTGGTGGTAATTGTAGTGAAGAAGAAGATGAAGATAGTGGCAGTAGTGGTTATAATAATAATAATAGATTTTCTGACAGTGATGTTGCTGTGATTGTTGAGGATGACAATGACAATGATAATAATTATAATTATGATTATAATACTGAGGTTAAAAATTTCACAAAAAACCCTGAACTATCATCATATGAAGAAGAGGGTGATGGTGAGGGTGTGGGTGATGAGGGTGTGGGTGAGGGTGATGAGAATAGTGATTTGGATGAAGAAAGTGATGATGAAGCAAGTGTTAATATAATCGAAATTGATTGATAACACTGGTGGCGACAATAATAATAATGTTGGTGATAGGTGATGGTGGTGGTAGTAATAATAATGATGATGATGATAATGGTGGTGATTGTAATGGTGGCAGTAGTAGTAGTAATAACAATGATGCTGATGATAAGTATATCAATATTTTGTTGTTGATAAATAAAAGAATTTAATATATAAATGTGCTATCAATTTAGTATTAAAGATGAATAAATATAATAAACAAAGGTAATAGCTTTTCCCATTATAGGGAGAATCCATTATAGATAGTAATGATTTATTAATTTTTTTTTCAAATGTATGAAAATCTCAAACCACTTGAGTGATAAAGAAATACATGTGATAGCACAAGATTCTCATGCTAATAATTAATTATCATCTCAATCTGAGAACTTTTGTTTTTTTTTGACGCTTTGAGGTGCATTCATCAGCAAAGAAATGTTGACAATTAAGTTATTCTATATAATAAAGTAAATAATTTAGTCAACTACCATTTGCAATTCTAGGTCAAAAAATAAAAAAAATAATACTGTAATTCCTCCACAAACTGTGACACACCTTCTTCATCAACTAGTTGTATCGGGATTTCAATAGAACGTACATGGTAGAGACGATTAATGACATCTGTATCTTTGATGAGAACATTTAGATGCAACATTCTACTGGCGACTTGGATTCCAACAGTCACCTACCATAAATATCTGACCGCCCAAGGTGTGTAATTTCAAATGAAAAGAGACCTTACTAAAAAAGTAACGTTTTCTTAAATAAAACCTTTTTTACTTTACTAAGTAGATTTGTACTTGATATCAAAATCTTTAAATTACAAAAGCTTCAAAAAGTTCGGTTTGGTATTAACGGAAACATTTAGCAAATAGTCCAAAAAAGCAAATTTCCAATCGGAACCTTTACATGTAATAAAGGACAAATTTCTTCATTGTAATGTATATTATTTCATTAATAAAATGTGCTCAATGTAACAGATTACATATAT